TCAAGAGTTGATACGCACAATTCGAACAAGATTGATATTAAAAACCATACTTTTATTACTAATGGGAAAAACATATTACATGGTTCGAGTTACATAGCTTGGGCCATTGGCCTTATATCGTATATTAGAGTTCTAAGACGGCGGTCCTATGTCAACGTGGCTCCATTCCTACAGGCAACTTGGAGTGCAAATATAACCCTAGACTTATTCCTTAAGCGTACTCCTATATCCCAATCGTCGTGGTCCTAGCGTAGCTCCTTCATGTAGTCGTATGGCTCCATCTTCGAGAATACTCTGGTCATCCTATCCTTGCACAGTCCTCGATAGCTCCATACCCATACGTTCTCCTATTGTCCTATCCTCGCATAGCTCTAGTAGTTCCATCCTGATAGGTGCTCCTGTAGCTTTACTCCTAAACACATAGAATGGAGGGGGTTGAGTACATAAAGTACTCAGCAAGCCCTAAACTTTGGGTGGAGGGAAGATCAAAGGGGAAGGCTATATGGTGGTGGTTAAGGTGGTTGAGGTAAAAGTGATAGGGTGAAGTAGTTATAATTATAGGTTGGACCCTGGTAGAGTATTACCATTCTCACCAGTTTCCAGGGTTAATTATAGTTTACCAAATTAGCAAAATACATCTTACCAGATTATCACAGTTGTAGAAGTCTAATCATAGTTGCTCTCATCCCGGCATCTGCCCATTCCAAGGACGTGGCTATTCGAATAGATTTAATAAACTCTGCAGAGGTGTATAAATTTCCCCACATGATAGACACAGTCCGACACCATTGTCATGGCTTAGACAGGTCTAATGAGATCCCGTACCCGCTTGCGTGCTACCCTAGATTTCCATATAACTCTACCACAGCTTCTCAGGGGTTAGACTACACACTAATCTCGGAAGGATACCAAATCGTCCCATCTCATAATCTCGGTGATACCAAATCATCCCATCATATAATCTCAGATGATACAACATCATCCCAACATAATAGTGCAGATGATACTAAATCATCATAATAAACGATAACATGGCTCGAACGTGGCCAAAAACTCAAGGGCTTAACGTGGAAGATCACATAGCAACCACGCCAACCGGACCACGGAAGATCACATAGCATCCTTGTCTTCTCCTGATATTCTGCTGCCAACACCGGCCCCCTAGTAGAAATTATACTTCGATCTAACGGGGTGTGAGATTAAGTCTTTCCATATCAGAGATGTGGCTGTACGAAATATGTCACTAGGTGAGAGGGACTATGAACCGGTCCTTATGTGATCGAGGCGAGTATATCCCACATGAGTCCTCACCAGGCGTTCCTGCCAAGGTAATCTATCCCCACATAAATTATCCCCACTCACCCCCTGTTTGGGTTTAGTTCAGGTTTACCATTTTTAAGTTCACAGTTATTATCCTTAGGTTCATAGAGCTCATTTCATATCAAGGTAACCATTACCTTATCATCATTAATCACATTATCATATCCGAGCTCATGACCCATTATAATTCCATTAATTCATAAAAGAGAATTTAAGCAATATAAGTTAAGTTTATTAATTAATGAAGATGAAGGGTGGGGTGTTTATGGTGGAGGCTAGCAAAATTTGGTGGTGGAAGGGGAGGTGGTTAAGGAGTGGCATGTAATGTAAGCGATGGGAATAGGTGGGTGTTAGGACTTGCCTCCATTCGCTGACGATTATATCCTCATCCGTCTCATGTGTCTCCTGCTCATGTCTTCTGGACTCCATCGGGTTCTCTCCATGTCTTCTATCCTACTCGGTCTAGCGTCGACAATCAAAACACAAACAAGGAAAATAACAAGCAAGGCATGTAAAATAAGCATTGGTAATCAAGGTGAAAGAATCGATCCTACATGGGTTGGTCCTATTGGGTGATAGGTTGTTGTCTAAGGTTATCATTATTGTGTCAATGTGATGTAAGGTTTGGATAGAGGTATTCCATCCAACAAGGTGGCTCCTACGGGCTAGGTTAGTGTGGTGCGGTTACCTCATGGAAAACCAGACCACATTATTATATTCCACTATTATGTGAACCTGAAGAGTGAAAGCCTGACCACGTCATCATAGATAACCTAGTCAAGCTTTCTATAGGTCCACTGGGTTAGCGACACATACGCACATACATATGTATGTGCCTAGGGTTAGTCCGGTTGGAGAAAAGGCGGCGGGTAATGTTAGCCATACATAAGCATATACCTAGGTATTGGCCATATCCATGTATGCATATATATTCTTTTATTTTAGGTGATTGGGTATGGGTATATTCGAGTATGTGTTATGGTGCATACACATACGTGAATATATAGGGTTGACTACTACTACGGTGACGGGCTACTACTATAATTTGTATTTAATTTAAATATAGGAAAAGGAAAGCAATCAAACTAGAATTTAAATGGGCACCAAATAATAGAGCAAAGGGTATGAACAAATAGAGCTTGAATTAAAAAGATTTGTGGTGGAAGAAGCAAGGCATTTAGAGTTAGGATGGAGAATATATGATTTATCAAAGTTTTAATATGGAAAAGAATATGTGGAATATAACTTGGTAATTAATTCTAGAAATTAGGATAATGGAAATGAGATGTAAATGCTTGGGTAGGATCTAGGGTGTACCTAGTTTATCTAGAAATTTTCTGATGTAAGGAAAATGGGTTTTCACTCCTCCGTGTACACTACTCGGGTGGCCGTAACGTTTTCCTCCTTGACTGGGCGACTGACGCGCGGGCTAGGGTTGACGGGGTCAGCCTGTGGCGCTATGCTATGCACCGGGCATGGCACTGTGCCGTGAACCGCTCGCTCTCTGGGCCTATGTGGACCAAGTCCACCGAAGGAAGGGAAAGAGAGAGGAGAGAGAGTCACGGTGGCGGCCACGTGGGGTCCACGTGGCGGCGTCACCATCTCCTCCCATCCAACGGCGTGGACGCCGTTCTGACCTAGGCCCACATAACAGATGGCGAGGGGAGGATGGAGGGGAAATGGCGATGGAGCGTCGATGACGGCTCGGCGGTGAAAACAGAGCAGGGGCGCGGGGCTCCCCGGAGTTGATTTCGCCGGTGGCATCCTTGCCCGGAGTTCATCTCTGGATGGCGGACGGTGTTTGCAAGGTCGAGCCGCGGTACTAGGAAGTCTTGTTGATGGCGGTGAGGCTTTGTGGTGACGGCGGTGGTCCGCTGGAGTGGTTGCGGTGGCGCGAAGGTGGGTCGCGGTGTTCTGCGAGGTGGTTGAGTGGGGGAGTGGGTGCGGCGTGGCTACAGATCAAACTTGCGCGCGTAGAGAGTGCCATCCCGCGTCGTCGCGCCTTGCCGGCGATGGCCATCGGCAATGGCACCTTGGCTGTGAGTGCTTCACGGGGCTAGGGCAACGCAGAGGGCTGGAGCAGGCTATGGGGTAGTGAGAAGGTGGAAGAGGGGATCAGGAAGCTCACTTTCCACCCTAATCGTCCTACGGTGCACCAGTGGAGGAAGAAGCGGAGCTTGCTCCAATGGCGACAGTAGTGTCCCGATTTGGGGGAAATCGGGCTACCACCTAGGAGAAGAGGGGAGGGGAGGAACCAAGGGGGGATATGGGATGTTCTAGACTTACGCGGAGCTTGCTATGGTGGTGGTTGAAGTCGGGGAGCACTCGTCGAGCGTATTTATAGGTGGCGGAGGTCGGTTCGCCGGCGGGATATTTCTCACCACGCGCCTAGGTTTCGTGGGCACGATCCTTCGTTCGATCTCGAGTCCAAACTACAAAGGCAGTGGCGTATAGTGCGCGCTTATCTGTTGCTCGGTTTGGGGTGAGCTGGAGCCAGAGCGCAGCCATGGCGGCATGGCTAGCTTGCTCGGGTGCTGCCGCGTGGTGGAGTGGATAAGGGCAGCGAGGTCTGGTGGGTCCGCAGCATCCTTATGCTTATCCACTTCGCTGGGCTGAGGCGGTAACAACAAGCCCGAGGAGACGGAGGTCGATGGCGTGGGCGATGCAGTATTCTCGTCGTTCACCCAGAGGTAGACGACGATGTTGACGAGCGCGCCGCAGTGTCAGTGGCGTGGAGAAGAGGGAAGGGAGGCGGGTTGCGTTCTGCTGGGCTGTGCCAAGTGAGCGGGCCGGCCCATTGCGGGAAGCAAAGGGGAAGGAGGCGAGAGCGTGCACGTGGGCTTGGGCTAGCGACGGCCTAGTGTGGGGGAGGCGAATAGGAGGCGGGCTGTGGCCATGGGCCAGAGGAGACAGGGGAGAGGTTTGAGCCCGAGAAGCTTTTCCATTTATGAAATGCATTTTCTATTTCCCATAAAATAAACTAGGCACATTTGAATGAATTTGAATTGGATTTCAACGAGAGCTTGGTATGTGGTGGTTGGTTAATTCAAGGGGAAGATCAAGGAGCTATTTGGTGAGGGATGTAAAAGGGGAAAAGCCAAGGAGATTATTTAGTGCCAAATAAATTCTAGGGCAAATAATCATGCAATCAAACAATTCAAGCATTCGAACAATCATTTCATCACTCCACACATTCTAACCTAAATGTATATGGTGGATTTTGATGCAGGGTTTCTGAAAACATTTCCTTTAAAAAGGGTTTTGAGGAAAATAAATAGTCAAGGTTTTAATTTGTTGCAAAGTTTTAAAAGTTCAAATTTTGTGTTTTTTAACATGATGCAAAAACACGGGTGTTACACAACTATATTAGCTTAATTAATCTATGCCTAAATTGTAATTATTAGAATGAATTCAATTCAAGGATCAAACGGGCAATAAAAATATATGTGTGCTCTTTTAGTGTAGTGGTGCGCTAGGTTTAATTTGTTTCTAGCTTCGCCGCCCTTGGTTCGAGGTAGGGCACCATGAAAAATTTTCATAAAAAATTATATATAAAAAGTTTCAGATATTTAATAAGAGATATAGATTAAATAATTCCATTTATATATAATTTTATATATGTACTGTAAGAATGAGCATATACAGTTGGACTCTAAAAAAAATTGTATACACCATGTTACTTAATCATATGCGTGCAAGAAACACCATGATTTAACGTGGCATGCATGCTTGAACAGCTCATGCTCTGCATGAAGTATGTGACGATCAGCATCCATCTGATTAGATAGTTAGTTGACCTTGACCATCCAGCACTTGTCTCTGATCTCGCCGTCGGCGCTGCTCTTGATTCCGACGCGGCCCATCTTCACCATCGCCGCCTTGAACTTGGTCTCCCACAGCCCCGGCGTGAACGCGTTGGCGGACACCATGTCCGCCGTCTGGTTCGACGCCAGCAGCGCGGCGTCCGACGCGAAGAGCACCTCGTGGTTGAGCACGTTCCTGTAGTACTGGCTGTCCAGGCCGTCGGGGTCACCGAGTCCTGCGGCACCGTGGTGTCGCCGCCGTTGCACTGCGAGGCCAGCGTGCCGGAGAGCGTGGCGTTCATGTCCGACACGTGGGGCGGGAGGCGGTCGGAGAAGGACGAGCAGCGGGAGCGGCCGACGGTGTGAGCGCCGGAGAGCGTCACCATGTCCTCGGTGTCGAGCCCCTTGGCGGCGAACATCTCCTTGAGCTTCTCGAGGCTGGTGAACGGCGGGGGCAGGTTGGCGAGGGCCTCGCTGTCGAGCGACACGCGCCCGTCATAGCGACCGGCCGGCATGTCGAAGTCGACCGCGTTGTTGCCGCTGAGGAAGAAAGTCGCGTCGCGGCCGGCGAAGGCAACGATGTCCGCGCACGAGACGACGCCGGGGCAGGCGGCCTCGAGCGCCGCCTTGCCAGCGTCGATCACCTCGAAGCCGCGCAGGCTCAGGTTGGGCGCGCTGGCCCTCTCCGTCGGCTCGCTGGAGCCGGTCGTGTTCAGGAGAACAGAAGCATCGCACCCCTGGACGAAGCAGTCGTGGAAGAACAAACGAATGAGTCCTGCGCCCGTGCCACGGTTACTGTCTATGGCACTCTTCACGGCCTCCCTGACAATAGTCTCTGCTTTGGGGCATCGATACTTGTAGTAGCCGACACTAAGTCCTGAAGGAGCTTTGCTTGGGCTTGGGCTTGGGCTTAGGGAAGGAGGATAAGTGGGTGGGATTGAGATTGAACTAGATGGACTTGGGGTGGGGCTAGCCAGTGGACTCGTGATCGATGGGCTTGGGCTTAGGCTAGGAGGACGAGAGGATGGGATAGAGATTGAACTAGATGGACTTGCACTTGGAGGATAAGTCGGTGGACTTGAGATCGAGGGGCTTGGACTTGCACTTGGAGGATAAGTTGGTGGACTCGAGATTGAGGGGCTTGGACTTGCACTTGGAGGGTAAGTTGGTGGACTCAAGATCGATGGGTTTGGACTTCCACTTGGAGGATAAGTTGGTGGACTTGAGATCGATAGGCTTGGGCTTGCACTTGGAGGATAAGTTGGTGGACTCAAGGTCGATGGGTTTGGGCTTCTACTTGGAGGATAAGTTGGCGGACTTGAGATCGATAGGCTTGGGCTTTCACTTGGAAGATAAGTTGGTGGAATTGGACTCGGGCTAAGGGTAGGGCTTGTGCTTGGAGCGTAGGTGGTTGGGCTTGGGCTCGGTGAAGGATATGTAGCTGGGTTTGCATTTGGAGGATAAGACCGTGGAGTTGAGCTACTACTTGGAGGATATGCGGCTGGGCTTGGGCTTGGATGATAAGTAGGTGGAAGAACTGAGCTCGGTGGGCTCTGGCTTGGAGGATAAGAGTTTGGGTTTGGGCGTGCGGGGCTCAAGCTAGGAGGACTTGTGCTGGGAGCATAACTGATCTGGCCCGCCACGGCCCCAAGGAGCGCTAGCAAGGTTACAGGGACGACGACGGCGGCGAGCTTCTGCGGCGCCATGGTTAATTGCTGTCGCTCGATCGCTCGGCTGATGGTCGTTTTTCTTTGCACTTGCACAACACAAATCGGGTGTTTTGCTTGGGATTACGCTTTGCCCTGCCGATTTATACTCGCCCCGGCCTGCAGGAAGAAACGCGTCAGGAATGTCGCCGCGTCGTCTCGTCTCCTGGGCGGCGGGGATCTCTCCGCACGTTGCGGTGGACGTGAAATTCAAACGGCGGAGAACATGGAGGACAGGACAGGACTGGACTGGACGGGTGCACAGCAACAGCTAAGCTAGCTCAAGCGGTTGACCCTGGGTACGGACGTACGGTGCTTACGTGTTTGGTGTCTACCAGTACCAGCTACCAGCCCTCCTGTTATGTTAAGCTGGGATTGGGCGGCGCCCAATGATTGTGCGTCCGGTGATGGTTGCATTGGTCTGAAATTGCGGCAGGGATTAGCTAGCTAGCTTTGCGTGTTGGGAACTGGGACCGAGTGAATGGATCGGAGTTGTTCTCTCAAACACATGCATGCAGGAGCAGGGATTAATGATGAACAACACAGCTAATCGTTTGCATTATTTCTGCAGGTTTACTTTGACATTCGTGACTGATCAGACGTGATCGAGAAATACTCCTACCTGTACTCTGTCACCCAACTCCTGTCGGTGATATTGTGATAATATATAAACATGCATGCCATGTGATGTCGTCGGTCTTTACACCGAGGTGATTGACGCGTAGAGCGTAGCGTAGTGTATGTATATGTTTTCGTGAAGGACTGGACAAAGTTACGCCCGATAGTCGATAGCCAATTAGGCTTTCAGAGGGCCGGGGGAAATAATTGCGGAACCTACAAATACTTTTAAGACTTCACCTAAATACAAAATCTTTTTTTTAAGAATCACATAGTACAACGCAGACGCCCACAACACGCACGCACACTCACCCCTATGAACACACGTGCGCAAACCCTATCCTTATGAGCACCTCCAAAGAACTGAGCCGACAGATCTTGAGATTCACGAAGTTCTAATATGAACACTGCGTCTCAGTTAAAACTGATCTCGATAAAAATCCATAACTCTGATTGTTATCAAATATTGTCAGAATAAATTAGATAAAATTTGTGAATGGGTAAAGTGTATGACCAGCCCTTAAACTTGTGTGGTTGTGTCATGCTTGTCCTCGTACTCATGAAATTTGTCATTTTGGTCTTTAAACTTGTCGAGATGTGTCATGACGGTCCTCGTACTCTCAAAGTGCATCATTTTAGCAACAAATAGCATCATTATTTGGTCCTTAAACTTGTCAAGGTGTCATATACAGGCTCTCTTACTCTCAAAATGCATCATTGTGGTCTCAAAGTGTATCATTTTGGTCCTTGAACTCGTCAACGCATGTCATATGCCATATCTTTGATTGACCCGTGCCCAGGCGCTAATGGTGGCATGCTAAATATGTGCTCAGATGGAGCTAACATGAACTTAAATTTTATACGGCAATTTGTATGCTCCGATGACATCTAGAATTTTCTAATTGATTTTGCATTTGAGATTATTTAGATATAAAGGGGTCAAAAGTAATGTACCCAAAGTTTTAGAAAGTACTCCCTCCATCTCAAAATAAGTCTCATTCTTACTTCCTGAGAAGTCAAATATATACGAAAAATCATTAATATTTATGGTGCATAATATTAAATCAATGGTTGAACATATTTTCATAATAAGCTTATTTGGATATATAAATGTTGCTAATATTTTTTTTATAAATCTAGTCAAATATAATTTTTTGACCTACTCAGAATCCAAAACTGACACTTAATTTAGGATGGAGGAGTAAGCCTCAAAATAATTTTTTTATATATTGTACTGCTATCAATAATAATTGTTCGATGGGATCGTAATAATGAGGCAAACGGGATGCATAGTGTAGTGGGTTTGACTCTAGCATGAGCAAAATAGGCCTTGTCCGAGCCGCTGGGCTTGGCCCAATCTGCATATGTTACTCCATAGGGTTTGAACAGTGAGGAAGCAAGCCCACAAAAGAAAAACAGCTTCAACCTAGCCCAAAGTATTAATTCTAATTATTTTTTTCAACTAAAAAGAAGCTGGTGGCTCACCCAGGCATAGGTCCGGCCCAAACTTGGCCTAAACATATATGCCCGACTTTCCTATTAGACATTATTGAAAATGAAAGTTTGACCCGAAAAATCGTTAGTTTTTTTCAGCCCGATCCACAAAACTCAGATAAATATATTTGACTCCCACGAACTACAAGTGCGTGAAAAACTATATGTAACCATCTGGGCAGTGGCGGAGCCTGAAGTAAAATATGGGGGGCGCTAATTTCAATTGGATCCATATGTACATAGATGGTGGAGAAATTAATCTTAGTAGTTATAATTAAGTCATAGTATATAAAATACAATTGACAACAAAATAGCTGAGTATAAAAAATTCTCTAAAAAGCAACGTAAAATCTGGATTGACAATAAAATATATTATTCAAACAGTCACTTTTAGTATGCATAATATGTAGATCTTATAGACTGAAAAATCAAGAAGGAAAAAAATAGAAGAATCAACAATACTTAGACTTCGTAGAGCAATCAAAGTAAGGAAAGCAGGCTAACATGCAGACACAGATGCAGAGCACAAGGACAGGGAGTCACGATCTAGCCGAGTCTTTGAGACCGACGAGCAGAGGAGTCGAGTGCGAGGAGACCTGTGGGCTTCAGAAAAACACAGAGGCATGTGGGCGTGGCCCACTATGGCCCCCACGTAGCTCCGCCAGTGATGTGGCGGGAAAAGTATAATCCAAGGAAGGGGGTCTCAATTTTTATTTTGAAAATATATTTTTTTTGCATGCATATCCATGCTAACTTGTACCCTCTTAGTTGCCTAGGAGGCATGGATTCTTAGGAAGGGTTTGGTTTTGGAACCAAACATAAACGATGGTGGAATATCCCATCTAATTCTAGTGTTTGGTTTTGGATACATGGTGGAACTGTCTCTTGAGAGAATATTTCACTAAGATCCAATATATCACCATCGATCTCATGAAAATTGGCGAATCAACTCATTCCCTCCCAACATTGTTTGAGTTCATTTGCACATACCTGTTGTCCCTCTTCTTTCTCTTTTTCAAGTCCGGTCCCCACCAATCCATCGGATGGGGCGCACAACTACGCCGCTCCCCTGCACACCTCTCCATATGGCTCTGGCAACACAGCCCGGGCAGATGAGGGTGACCGTGGCAGGGGCATGTGAGGGCGATCACGACGGGCAAGCAACCTAGTGGGACCAGGGCAAGATGGCAAGTGGGGGCAACTGCGATGAGCCAAGTCGGGGGTGGAGGTGCCGCAGCTCCATCAATGGGTGTGCTGCTCTCGTTGGGGAAGAACGAAGAAGAATGTGAAAGAGACTCACATCCAGGCCCCACTTGATGGTTGTCTTACATGAAAAAAACGTTCAATATCCTCTCCGGTCCTCTCTCTCGTACCAAATAAACACAAAATAGAAATGACCTCGAAGAAACTGTCGCAAAAAAATAAGACGATACAGTCCCATTTCACATCGTTCTCAAACCAAACATTATATATGCAAAAGTATCCACGTACTTTAAATACTTCAAAACAGAAGCAAATGGGATTCAGGATCCGGCACGAATTAGTAAAGTATACTCCTACGCACGTACTGTTCCTCGGCACTGACCGGCATTGGAACCTCTCTGTCCAGCGCATATAGGGATACACTCTTTGGAAGGCATATTTTTTCCTTGTGTAAACAAGCAACTCTGGAAAGCTTCGCCGCACTCATGTTCCATGATTTTTTAGATAATGGAACTAGCTAGGTTCCAGCCTTTATCACCTAGGAATGGTACACAACTGAGAGTTGAACACAATCCAAAGCCATGAGGCTTAACTCTTACAACCAAGAGAAAGAAAATAAAAGCAACAAGGTTCAGCCCATCCAGGACAAATGCATACTAGCTTGGAAAAGAATTAGGACTAAGCTTCAATTTGATTAAAAAAACTCCACCTAAACTTTTTTAAGACCGCCATGATCATTGTTTCTAAGTCTCTGCATACTCGTTCGAACATCGGTCGCTCCTCCTCCTTATGCAGCAGGGACAACTATCGGATCCAATATGTCATCCTAAAAATTACCTCTAAATAGACAAATAGGCAGTGCATATTCCATGACGCAGTTGGGTGCATGCATAATGTAGTGCATCCTCCAAATTTCCACAGTCGCAACCAAGGCACCAATATCCATTGTTTCCTCTCTTAACATCATGAGCACATATTTCAGCGTACTGAGCATAGCTGATGGAGGCTTGCATGATGCCACCATGTCCGTTGCCGTTGGTGTTCTATCGGAGGCTGCTATTTTTTTTTTCCCCGAACGATCTTACCTTTTTATATTATTATTTGAAGAAGAAAAGGAGAAAACAACTCTATAATAACCAATTTACAACTGGCCAGGCAAGGGAAAAATTCCGGCCATTGAAGCTATTCACAGCTATTTTATTTGTGAATGGAAAGGTAATAATAAACTTGGGGACGCCTTGTTGGATTGTCGGTGGTTATACCGCCGACACCGCTAGTCTTATCTTCTTTTGTTATCGAGTTAACTTTATGTCTCCTGGGACTGGGAGTTGATCCCACGAATTTACATCGGATTCAGTTTGACGTTGTGATTATTACTTAATTGTGGAACATGTGTTAGCATTATAGAAGAGCATCTCTACTATAATGGACCAATCAAAATTATACTAGGTCTCCCCAGAAAAACGTCCCTCGCTGAGAGCCTCCAACCATTGCGCACCCAAAAAAATACACACATAAATTCGTCTACATTAAAATCAAGGGCTAATAAAACATCCAAACTTATCCGACGGCTGACGTCGGATGTGTGATGCTAGGCTTCTCACCCCCGTGCCCTTCGTCCCACACACGCGGGCTTCAAACGCAGACAACTGCAAGAACGCATCCGTGGTTTGATTCCTGCTCGC